GCTGAAAAATCCTTGACTAGCATAAGCAGAACTTAGCAACACCTAAACCATCAGTGTGTTGTCAACATTCTTCTCATACTAAATCCAAAACACAGCACTGTGCCAGCTACTAGGAAGAAAATTAACTCTATTCCAGCCGAAACCAGGACAGGGTCAATTTACAGATCTCGGGGGAGGGGGGGGGGTGGGGTGGGGTGATAAAAAGACATGTTCTTCTCCTGTGGTAGTTAAGCTTACCTTGGTTTAACACAGATACTAGTATGTTTTACAATTTTCTGCATTCAAATTGCTTAACTGTAAGATGCAAATCAACAAAACCCTCCACATACTTGGGTTTATTTTCATTTGCTCTTGCTTAGAAATATCTCTGAATATTGTGTGAAATGTCTCTGCAGGGCAATCATAAACTGAAGGGAATTTTTTTAGTGTTGCTGTGTATGCTGGTGTTTCACTGTGCATGCAGCCTTCTGGAGAGCCAAACAGTTTTTGAGACTTGGATTTATCTAGGTTCAGGCATCTAAAACATAATACCAGGTCTGAGCTGGTCAACTAGATTTCTCTGCTGGTGAATGGAATGGGCGAGAGGTGCGTACAGGGAGAAGTCTTCCATTGCTAATTTAATCCTTCCTGTCAAATGCATGTTGCTGTTAATGTATTTTATTGGATTCAAGGGATCTCTTTATGCTCTCCAGATTTTGTTTATCGTTTTTATCTTGACAGTAACACAGATTCTTCTCTCTTTCCAGGGTGACTGTTGGATCTGTATGGAGCTCATGTCTACCTCGTTTGATAAGTTTTACAAATATGTATATAGTGTATTAGATGATGTTATTCCAGAAGAAATCCTAGGCAAAATCACTTTAGCTGTGAGTATTTTGTTAAACCTTTTTGTGTATGTTTTTGACGCTAATGTGAAAAATTCAGATCTCTTTCACTCACATGTGAGAAAACTGGTTGATCTGCATGCAGCAGAACTGCTGCTGTTGTATTGCACCACAGTTTTAATGATCCTTGAGTATACTCTTGACTTTCTCGTAGCATGTTGCATGATGGAAAAGCAGGTCCTGCGGTCTGTAATCCGTTCATAAAGAGACCCCAGGACCAGCCTTCTGCTCTGTCTGCTTGAACATAGGTGCTGTCAGCACAGGCACCAGCCCCCTCCTCAGGGATCTCTTCACATGCACTGGTGGTGGCATCAGTGGAAGCTGGGCACAGGTTGTCTCATCCCAAGGAAGGTGCCTAAAATAGATCAGCTGTTTTCCCTTACCTTGTTTGTAAAGGGAATTAGGGATGGGACATTTATAGCCAGGACATGTGAACCCCACCAAACTGTTTGAGAATAAGGGTCTGGTCTCAGTGAGTTGCCTATCCTCTCTCCCAAGTCAGTGGGGAGACGTTGGTGCCTCTCTATGGGAGTTGAGTTCCTATCTCGTGGTGCCTTAGGTGGTGAAGTGAGATGAATCCCACCCAGGGTATCTGAGTGCAGCCATACTACACGGAGCCCACTGTCTCACTTTAAGGAGCCCTGTAAAATTAACCTTGGCTGTGCCAAAATGAACCCTTAGTTGTCTAAACACAAGGGCAAGTTTTGGCCCTGCAAAACAAACTTTTGGTTTTGGGCCATGGAGGAGGGGGTGTGGAAAGGTATCCTGAAACCTCTTGTAATGCTGCTGCCCATAAAGATCTGCCAGGTCCATTGGATTTCTGCAGGCAATGCTGGGCTACTCCAGTCCAGGCTACTCTAGTAGCCTTGTGCAAAGGCTCCCAAAAATACAAGTGAGTCTTTAACAGGTGGAGAACCTGGTTGATGTTTTCTTGACCTAATCTGGAAGTCCTCGCCCAATAAAAAATCAAGGCCAAGCCAAATGAATTAGTTCAGTGAGGCTGCTGGAAGACGAAAGGCTGCAGAAGTGAAGTACTGTTCAGGAGTAATGGGGGGAAATGTGAGCGAATGCTAGATCCGTGCCATGTTGGTGACAGACAAGCAAACTGCCTCTGTGTTGGCTGCAGCACGTGAATGCCGCAGTAAGCTGGTGTCCTGAGCTGTCAGAGTGACGGAGAGGTGCTGAGCAAGTTGCAAACCGTGATCTTTTGAAAGGATATGGGCAAATTCTGCTCAGTGCCTGATCTTGGGGGAAAACCATCTTCACTCTTTCTTAGGGGCATCTTTATAAAATGTTGAGCACACTTGGACCTGTTGACACTTCTTACAGCTAACAGGCTGCCTTAACAGCTCAGGCACTCTCACGTATTTAGCTGCTTATAGCCAAGACTGAAAATCCTATCAAAGGCAGCCAGTGGCTGTTCTGCAGCCCATGGAATGCATCATCTTACCGTGAACCAACTAAATGTATTACTCAACAAAGCAAGGCTTGAGATGTAGACAAGAGATGGCTGGGTAAGGTCTGTCCTTCCAGGGTAGTCTGCTTGGAGTTAAATGTAATTCTGTGGGGGAAAGAAAAGGAGACACTTTCTTCTAGGGTTTGCAGGGTATTAGAGACACGCTGGCCCATATTTTGGCTCAGACAGACCTTGCAAGGTGTTTTTCTGATGAAGATTGTTTGGACAGAGACTTGAGTTTTGAAGCTCTCAAAGGGAATTTCTCTACTTACCTTGGCAGACAGCATGCTGTGAAAGCTCCCCAAAGCTTTGTAACTCTTAGCCAGGGAAATGACCACCTCGGATGTTTCTGATCTGGGGGTGAGGGATGGTCTGAGTAAGCTGAAATTTTCCATACCTGATCCATGATCCACAACAGATTTGGGGATGTGAAGCCCAGCTGCACTGTGTGGGAGGTCATGGGCTGCTCATCAAACACTGCTCTCCTTCCTTCACATTGCACCTGAAGGCAGCCCAGCCCAGAGCAGCTCCTGAGGGAGGTCCTCTGCACAGACTGGCTTTAGGAACTGAGACAGGTTCTGACTAGATCTTCTGGTCTGAGGTTTGTTTCTGTCCACCTTTTCCTAGAAAACAAAGTGAGGAACGGCATTTAATAACGCTGGTATGAGAATACCGGCCCTGAGTATCTTAGACCTTGAGGGCCTCCAGGTCCGGAAGTGCGCACTGCCCAGGTAGCCCCATCTTGTGCAGGTGGGGTATGTGCTGCAGCTCACAGCTTGGTGGACTCCGCCAACCACCCTTCATTTCATGTTAGAGCTCTTTTACCCCAGGTTGAAGAGCTGTGAGCTTCTGCTTCACCTGCTTGAGGATGGGGGCAGAAGCTTCTGGCAAGGTCAGCTGAGATTTAAACCAACATTCAGTCACTAAGTCCAGCAGGCTTTCTCTTGCTGAAGCTCAGGTGCAAGGAGGCCATCCAGTCTCATTCCACTATGGGTCTGCCTAAAAATCAGGTGATGCTTTGTTGTTCAGAGAGATGTAGTAGCTTCTGCTGACAGAGCAGAAACTTGCAGTGGAGGAGCAAGGTGGGTTGTGAGGAGGAGACAGCACTTCAGCTGCCCCAGAGCCTGCCAGAGCTTTTAATTACCTAAACACTTGAACAAGGGGTTGTGTGAGCAGGAAGGACCAGTCTTTTGGAAGTTGTTCCTTGGTGCTAGACTTCATCCTTACAGTCGCCCAGCTTCAGAGTGCCTTTGCAGCACAATACGAACATCCTCTTACTATCATCTTCAGGGCAGGCTTTTGGCCATTGTTTTCAATGATCTTTTCAGCAGAAGCGAAATGAATTAAAATGGTGAACTTCTGGGTTTTTTTTTTTTTTAAATCGTCCTGTGAAATCAGGTGGCCTAAGTGTCTCTTCCATTTAATGGTGAATGGTTAAATCAGAACAGCCTCCTCTGCTGCTCCCCACGCTGCTGCTGCTCAGCCAGTGGAATGGGAACAGTTGTTACCGACTGAAAAAGTACAGCATAGGGCTTGAAATAAGTTATTACTCAAGATAATTAACATCAGAAATTGCTTGACTTCACCTTTTGCTCCACTCTCCCAGAGTGTGATCTTTCCAGGTTACAAGAAGTGGTATGTGTTTACTTAAGTACATGCCCTCTCTTATATCACCTTCTGTTTGCAGGAAAGATTGGGAGAAAAATGCTTTTATTACATGGCATATTACAGCATTGATATCTCACCATATTAAATGTTTTTTCCCCCTTCTTGGAGCTCCAAAAGTTTAATCAAGAATCTTATGACAATTGCTTATTTTTCATCTGTTTTTCTTTCCTAGACTGTGAAAGCACTAAACCACTTAAAAGAAAACTTGAAAATCATTCACAGAGGTGAGTTCATGTCTTTTCTTCTTGCCTACAAAAACAATGCCTTTGCTTCAAGTCAAAGTGTAATTAACATGTGTACTATCACGAGTGTGAGTACAGGTTTTGCACACGTGTGTCGCCAGTGGCTGTTTCATTGCCCGTTTGGTCTGTGGTTTTCCATAAAAACATGATTTCAAGATGTTGGGTGTCTGCCTCTGCCTCCAGGCATGTGGAATCTTTGGGGCTGGCTCCATCTCCTCTTGCTCCCAGTCAGGATCCTCAACAGCAGGAAACACATCCAGTCACAGCCTGCCTGCCCCACACCAAGGGGTGATGGTGATTGTACAGCACTGCCAGTGTTGATTCTCTGCAGCTGCTGTTCTTGAAATTGAAAGCTCCAGCCATGACTTACTGGTTTAAAATTCTTTCCCTTGCAGACATCAAACCTTCCAATATTCTTCTGGACAGGAATGGAAATATTAAACTCTGTGACTTCGGCATTAGTGGACAGCTTGTGGACTCCATTGCCAAAACACGGGATGCAGGGTGCCGGCCATACATGGCGGTGAGTAGGGATGAGCTGGGCAGCGGGGAGCTGGCATGCCTGTGGGCTGTGCAGGACCTTACCCTCCTTCTGCAGGCCTGGATCAGTGTGGCTGTACCTGTCATCTGGCTGAAGTGTCAGGCTGTTTCCTGCGTGATGAGCACCTGCTTCCCAGATGAAACTGAGCTCTGGATTGAGCACTGCTGCTGGCAGCACCAGCAAAGGCATCCAGGCTGTGGCAAAGTGACCAAATTCCCTTTTTTTTGCTGGGTTCCTCTGCTGCTGCCAGTGCTGTGGCACCGGAGCAGAAAGTTTCTCTGTTCCTTCCAGCAGCGGCCGCTCATGCTCCAAAACAAACAGTGCATGGGGGAGGCAATGCCATCTGGGTGCAGGGTCTTCTTGGTCTGCAAGCAATCCATTTGCTATGGTAAGATTATGTCACAGGGGTTATTGCAGAGCAGAATTATAGTGATTTTTGCAAACCACTTTAATTCCAAAGTGTGCCATAACTTAATTCCAGGAGAATGTGATTCTGGAGAGCAGTGGTAGCAGAGCAGCTGCGTGGAAATCGCTCGGGCTGAGCTGTGGCTCCTGGGAGTCTGTCCTGCTTGTTTGCTTCCCTCCCCCTCCCAGGGAGAAAAGCTGTGGTGGTGATTTTCGAAGCTGTCTGAGGTTTTTAAACATTTCTGTGCATTGGGCTGCTTTGAAAATGCATCTCTTGGTTTCACATGAGCTGAGGGTGCCTTGCACGGGGAGCTGTGTGTCTGCTGCTGTCAACGTAACTTTACTTTCAGTGGCTGTGTTGAACTCTCACTATCTTATGGCTCTACATGCTGAAAAATACTGTTTTCTGAACTCTCTTATCTACCACCAAGGAAACAAAAAAGGAAAATCTCTCTTAAGGTACGGAGCCCATCTGGTCCAGGTAATGGCTCTCGTATGGCTTTTATCTAACTGTGGTGTCAAGGCAAAACCTGTCTGCCGCGATACTGATGCGTGCAAGCAGAGAATCTGAGTTTCAGAGCATTTGACCTTTTCTGTTCACTGCCCTCATAGCAGAGCTAGTTACTCAACAAGCTGGAAAGAAGAGTACAGATGAGATCTGTTATTGGAGACCAGTGCTGTGGTACGACAAAGTGTGTGCAAGCCCACAAGCTACACAACATAGTGAAACACAGCAGAACAGGGCAGTTTGTCTAAATAAGGACCTTGTGAGGCTGGAGAGGGGACAGAGGCATGTCTCTGCTCTGAGCACTTTCGGCAAGGGCGTACAGCTCTCTGCAGAGAAGAGCATCAGTCAGAGCTGTCCAATTTATTGTGTTGGTGGGGCATGGGATGCTGAGGGCAGCAGCAAGGAGAGGTGCCCCAGAGGGACATGGGAGCCAGTGCAGTCTGAGCTAGTTTGACCCGAGGTTGCGTATTTGCATCTCAGACAGCAGGCACTTCTGGTAGCATTGTTCTGTGGAGTTATGACTGCTGTTGACTTTTCCCTGTTGTCTGAGGTGTGTATTGGGTCTGTAAATAATGTTCTTGAAAAATTGCTCACTCCTTTCTCCCTCCCAAGTTCAGTGGGCTATAATTACAGGAATTAATGTTCCCACTTTTTCTTAAAACTATGCATAGATGGTTAGCTTTGCACAGGCTGTTGGTTTAGTTATGACGTGACAGTTAACGGCATGCCTGTAAATAGCTGTGCTGCTTCATTTCCCCTGGGACTTGAGTGGGTGGGTGCTTCTGATAGCCCCTTGTCTTTCCTCCCTGCCCATGCATATCCACTCTGTTCTTTGTGCATCTCTGTCACCAGCTCCAGACTGTTGGATTTTTAAGTGAGCAAAACTGTTTCAGTTCAGTTTGTGATTTTAAGAGCCTTGGCATGGTATACGGTTTGTGGGAAGAGCCAGCAGCTGGCAAGCGGTGTGGGATATGGCGGGCCTCTTCCCTTCTGCTCTCTGGACTCAGTGACTTCTCTCCAAGTACATGAGCATTTCCACGTGCTGAGAAGCCTGGAAAATGGTGAGATGTCCCCAGCATGCAGGCACATCTGCCAGCTCTTTCTGCAAGCCAGCAGAGGCTGATGGCTGTAGCGATGCTGTGATCAAACCTGAATATTTATGGGAGGGAGTCAGGCCAGTCATACTCCTTTCGAAAAGAAAATATTTTTTTTTGTTGCAAAATAGACAACTATTCTTGGTGCAAAATAATGTGACTGTGTTCAGCCAGGATGGCTCTGATAAGGGCTGCTGGATGATGTTCCCTGATAAGAGCATGCTGCTCTGCAAGGCCCACTTGGCCCATGGCACTTGCAGTAATTCTTGTAGAATGAGCACTTGCCCACCAAAGGAACCTGATAACACTGTGTTCACTGGAGCTGGGTCCCCAAATAGCCGTTGATAACAATAACATTGGATGTCAGCCAGTTTGACTGTGAGCAGTCTGATTAGGCAGTAGGAGCCACATCCAGCTGCCAAGCAAGTGCTCTGTGGTTTAATCAAAATTGTTAGCGCTGTCACAGAAAGCAGCATATCAGCCTTGGAGCTGCCAGTGCTGGAGAAGTTGTTCTGCTTTTGGCTTTGAATTCCCCTGCGATTGTTACATTGAAGTAAAGGCGTACATGTTGGTGCCTTGTGTTCTCTGAAAGAAAGACGGAGCCCCCACGCTGCCCCAGGCAGCAGCCTGCCCCTGGAGAGCCCTCCTGAGACCTGTGCCAGTGCCAGCATTGTTGGGTTTGTTTGAGGTGAGGTTTTGCAATGTGCTCAAGGCAGCCTTAAACCAGCAGTGGGGCAAGATTGCTCCCCAGCCAGCCCCTGGTCCTCTCCACCTGCTGCTCCCTGGCAAGCCTGCATTGCCTCTCACTGCAGCGGGTGCTGCTGATTTGCGGGGGGGGGCTCTGTGGGCCACGCTGAAGCTGGTGGTCTTTGTGGCATTATTTCTTTTTGCCTTCTTAACGTTCAGTTGAACCCAGCTTCTGTGTCATAGTGGAGGGATGAGACTGGAAGCGCCTGGGTTAGGTAGGGGATGACCCAACCAGCATGAGGACAGATGTCCTGCCCTGACCTGCCCTGCTCCTTTGGGACTTCTCTAGGGGCAGAGTTTGATGGTGTCACACATGTCCTTGGTCCCTCAGGTCCTTTTCCCAGGTACCCTGGGAGCTGCCCACTGCAAGCTGTAGCTGTGCCCAAGTGCCAGTGCCCTGTACCGCATTGCCCACCTCCCCTGGGCTGCCTGCTTAGCTCTCCCTGAAGAGTTGTTGAGATGAGAGGGTGGGCAAGGGGATGCACAGTGCCAGGGGTGCAGAGCAGCCTTCTTGGTGCTAATGCACGACCCGTGTCCCAGCAAACACACTTCTGTTTGTCCCTGCCTGTGCGCAAATAGAGGGCCAGTGCAGAGCCCCGTCGCTGCAGTGCTGCTGCAGACCAGTGCTTGGGATGTGTTTCCTGCTCCTCATTTCTCCCCAGCGAAGATGGGCAGTCGCTGCTGGCATTGGTGTCCAGGGCTGGGTGGAGGTTGCATCCTCATGCTCGGATGGCTCATGCACAGTTCAGGCCATGCATGGAAAAGGAAAAATTCCCAAGGCAGGTGACAGTGATGAGTCTGAGCCCTGCTCACCTGGCCTCCTTGTGCATGTGGAGGGAGAGGCTGCAAGGATGCAGGAGCTCTCTGAGTCCTTTACCCAAGCAGAGCTGCAGCAAGAGCCTATTTCAGCTTCGCATTCCTGACCCGATGTCCAAGTTTTCATCAGGCTCAGTCATTCATTTATCTGAATGGGCAGGCTGTTGGTTTGAATTCATGCAGCTATAATCCTCTTGGATGCTCCTGAATATTGCTCTGTGTTGGACTTTTTTTTTTCTTTTTTTCTTTTTTTCCCCTCTGAAACTTGGCACTCAGCCATAATTTTTATGACTGAGAAACAAATTTGGTAGGAGGCTGGGAGACATGTGGCACCATCTCTCTGTGAGCAGTGCAGACTGGATCCAGGCTCTGCTGCCCGCAGCGTAGCGAATGCTGGGGGAGATGCCTGAGCTCTGAGTGCAGCCCTCCCCGCTCGCGTGCTGCTGCTGTCACCCGCGTGCTTCAGGGGTTTTGGCTGAGAACATAACCTCCACTTACTCATTCACCAGCTAAAATCGTCCATGAGGTTCACCCAGCGTGGGACTTCTCCTGTCCAAACTTAGCTCCTTGCATCACGCAGCGCAGAGCCCATGCCAAGCGGCTCTGCTGCAGGACTGAGCTTCTGTCTATGCATTGGCACTTCCACCCCCAACCTGCCAGGGACATGCTGGGAAGTGATTTTCCTCCTCACCTGTTTAGATGCTCATCTGCACAGGCAGTTTATATAAACCTGGGGTAATGTGTCAGCAGCTGCCTGTGTAAGCTTGGCCAGAAGTATTGTGGACAGGATGTGAGTTTTGTGGAGGAGAATATTAAAAGGTGGAAAAAAGTCATTTCGGCCACTAGGATTTATGTGGGAAGTGCCTAAGTCAGGTCTGGGAGATAGTTGCCCTTGGGAGACATTGGAGGTTCAGCTGGAAACAGCAAGCAGATCCTGTTTGCTGTGAGTTTGCTCTGTGTGGGGCACAACTGGCTGTGCTGGGGCAGCCCAGGGTAGCCCCCACTGCTGTGTTTAGCTACAAAAAGGCTAACTGGAAGCCACAAATAGCAGAATGTGATCATCAGGGCAGTGAAGATGCAGAGAGGGATGAGCAAGGCTCCTTAGGGCAAGGTCAGGTGTGGGGAGAGGGAGCAAAGCGTTGTGCAGGTCCCAGGTGTGAGCCTCCCATCCTCTCTCAGCCTGTTTGGCTCTTGCTGCTTGTGTGGGTGAGGGCTGGGGGGGATTCTGCTTCAGGAGGACCCATGGGGATTTGCAGGAGCACTCTCCACCCCTGTGCCGAGCCTTTTCCTACCAAGCGTGGGAGCACCCTGCATGCCTGCCACACGCTTGGTGCAGGCTTGGGGGCTGCTGGAGCCACTCGGCAGCACTCGGTAGCCTCCCCCAGTGGCTACCCTGGCACTGCCATCTGGAT